GGTACATAATTGAATAAGTTGTTTAAACACTTGTTTAACAACAAGTAAAAGCTTGGGATGGTCTATTCTTTCATTGTGTTTGTTGATAAACAAATGTTCAAACAACCATTTTCAATTAATTACCAAATTGTTGAGTATAAAATGTAAATGTCTGCAAGAATTTCAAATGGAAAAATTTGATTATTTACACAAAAATATTGATTTATTTCATTTTGAGTACATGGCGAATAATCATCCGTGTTTATGTCACAAACAGCTATGAAAATACAAAAATCTGCAAGCTGAAATGTGCAGATACCGTTCAAAAATGGCGCCGCAACAGTATAACGTGTGATTAAAGTTCAAGGCATTGGGCATCATAGACACAATCACAGAAATACCATCCGCAAATATAGTTAAAAAGCCTTATTTAGAATCCATTAATATACGTATAATAGCCAATAATACTCACTTCATCTGCAATGTATTAACTCCCACTCCAAGGCAAAAAAAAAAAAAATGACAGCGTAAATTTATTACAATATGTACTATTTAGCCACCCAGTAGCCCAGCGGTATGACTGCTGACTTACAACGCTAGAATCCGGGTTTCGATAGTAATGGGCAGAGCAGAGATAATAATTTTACTTTCTTTTTCGTTAATGTTCCTGCATTGGTTTCTAGTGAGAATAACATTTTTTGTTTGTGTTTTGTTTTGTTAACCACAAAACTACAAGTGCGCTATCTATGCTCTGTCCACCGCGAGTATCGAAACTCAATTTTAGCGTTATAAGCCGCAAACTCACTTCTGAGCAACCGTGGAAGATGCGAAGAATAATGTATTAAAATATGATTATCTAATTTTTCTATTGGAACATAAAGTACATCTTAATTCTAGAAATAAATTACTTTATAGAAAAATAAATTTGTAGTTATAAGGTTGTTTATTTCTGGAATAATTGAATATCGACCACATATTTCTTACTGCAAACACATAATAGAGCCAGCAAAAAAGAATGTTTGTTAAAAATTATTAACAATGCTATTGCTATCGTTAATTTATACACCATCTGTTATTACAACGAAAGAGAGAGACAATGTAAAATGCAACAATTGGGAAAGCGTTTATAAGAACTTTTCCAACAATATTCTACATTACCAGAAGTACCCGTCCCCTTGACGGAAGTTACGTAAATTCATGATTAATGAAAGGTTATTTTAGGACATCAAAAGTTCCTTCCCTTATATGTAATTGTAAAAGAAACGCCCATAAAAACTGCAAAACACAAAATGTGTAACCGCAAGTTTGCATGTATCTCTGCATGGACCCAACAAACCTTCATGCCAAATTTGGTGAAGGTCCATCGATATGGGGCAAAGTAGTGGTAAAAACGCCCATAAAAACCGCAAAACTGAAAATCTATATTTATCTCTCCATGCACCCAATGAACCTCAATACCGAATTTGGTGAAGATCCATCTACAGGGGGCTAAGTAGTGGTAAAAAAACTCAAAAACAGTCATAAAAGCCGCAAAACGATAAATGCAAAACTTTTTATGTACCCCCGCAGGGATCTAATGATCCTCCATGCCAATTTTGGTGAGGATCAATCCACACCCTGCGAAGTACTTACATGGACATGCAACAAATAACAGACAGTACTATTATATTTATACAGATACAGTTCAAACGCTTAAAGTTGGCTAGACATTAGAAACTAACGGACCTAAGTTTTGTGATGAAAATCATGTAAACTGTTTATGTAAATATATTCTCATTTCATCTCATTATCCAGCCCATCTGACAAGATCTGGTATTGAACGACTTGTGATAAAATTGAAGAAAAATGATAGATTTGAATTATTAATTTTACATTTCTCCGATTTTGGATACAAAATGTACAAATTATGAGAAATATGGGGGAAAAAATCTACAGTTTATTTAATTTTTAGGAATGTTGTGTATACTTTTTGGGACTTATCGGTTTTGAAGGTTGAAAGCTTGCTCAATAAACATCGAACGTGAAGATAAACAATATTATTTTTTATCAATAATTAATCCACGAAAGTCTAGATATTAAAAAAAAAATAAACAGCCATGGATATGAGCTGATAGCCCTCGTGTAGCTTTGCGCGAAATTAAAAACAAACAAACATAATGGTGGGAGAAGGGTTAGTTAGTAGAAAAATACTGCTTCATCACCGAATGTGTTTTGTGTTTTTCGGCTAAAAGCCTTTTGTTTCTTTTAAAAACGCGTGTATCAAATCAATAATCTATTAATTTTAGATCCTTGTTTCTCCATCGTTAATTCAGTTGCTTGTTTGGTTGAAAAAGTATTAAATTATATAATCTTGCTCTTTTTAGTGCGGTGTCCAGTTAATAGTTGTACCAAAATCATGAGATTAAACCTGAGAACAAGCCCCCTTGTGAAAATGGGGGAATGTAGTAGTTGGAGTTGTTAAAAAAAGTTACTTACCAGATGCAGCTAGGGGTTAACTTTTACCTCAGACGAATGAGTGTTGGATTGGTACCTGATTCGAAACCTCTCATGGTATATGCAAAAACCGGATTAATACATTCTGATACTAAGCACTATCTTTCGTTGCTTATAAATTAGTAACAACAGGAAAACCTCCTAAAGAACAACAATAAAATTTGTTCTTAAAAATTTTACAACATGTGTGTCATAACTACTGACTTGTACAAGTCCTAAAGATTGGTAAGCCTAATTACAGTACTAGAAAAAGAGTTTTACTTCGTCTGAGTTCTGTCTTGATTTACAGTGTTTTTATCATGATTCACAAAACCTGAAATCACCAATCATGGTTCAGTGGAATAGGAAGTTACTTAAAGATTTGAGGAGGGAGCAGTGGCGGAGTGTGAGACAAGTTGGCATGCACCTTAAACGTTCAGCAGTGTGCATATATGTGTATAATCTGTGCTAAAAATGTGATAGTTATGCCTGGAAGGATGGTATTAGTTGTGTTGAAGGTGTTTGCGGACAATGGGTTAAAACAAGGTCTAGATAATTAGTTCGAAACCTCAGCAAGCACGCCATTTCAATTACATTTCGATACACAACAAGGCATCAAATATCCTTTGTGAATTCAGAAAGACATGAGGACAAACAAAGCCTACGCTGTTAAGTTTTGCCTCATCTATAATCCTTTCATTCTGTAGCCAAGCTCACCAGAATAACAAAATTTACCTGACTGCCATCTGAACACAAGCACGTTTGGCTAGTGACTTGTGAAGGCTATTCTATGGTATATTCAGATGAACTTAATTGACGTTAAAGTTTCCCCGAATAAGTCCGCGAAACAGGAGATTAGTTCAAGATACAAAATTGTCGAGTAATAATAAGAACACTTACTAACTGAGACTAAACTAAATGAAAGAGACTGGACAAAACGTGATAAAAAAAGGAACAGTATTGAATGAAACGCTTAACATAAAAATAGTGTGTTCGCCAGACTAAGGACAAGTTGGATTACACGATACAAGGTTTCGTATCTTACTTAACTTTACCTAGGCCCAGCTTGGTTTCTATGCCTTGTTTTGCCCTGCGCTCATTTATTTGTGTTTGAAGAAACCTTGTATTTATACTGTTCAACTGGAGCTACCACATGACAAGCTATTCTCAGAAAACACACCTGAGACATTAACTTCTAGATATTATCTGGTTAACAAGAAACAAGATCAACTTAATGGCTTTCTTGACCAAGTTTTTAGTGACACCTGCACATATTCAGAACAAAGAATTAATTTAGAATCAACATTACAATACTACGAGAAGATAGAAATCCATTGTATGTTTCTATACTAGAATTCTAATGGAAATTATTATCCAACGAACCAGTGAGAAGATATTTAATTCCACACCTTGTAGTTGTACCTAGGTAGTGTGGGCTATTCAAACAAAATAAGCCTAAAATGTTGGTTTGGTTTTCTAACAGTTAAAGTAAAAAGGCAAAGATAATTCTGGGATATTACACTCTGTATAGTGTTAAATAATTTATAGTTAACTTTGCACTAAGATTATATAAAACTATTCATACAAACAACGACATAGCATCTACAATACTTTAGTTATATAATTCTGAAATATGCTTGAATTTGTTGGTGGTCTATATACAGATACTTGAATACGATATTAATGTTAATTTCTTATCACCACTACTGCCAAAAATTATTTAAAAAACGAGCAAGGTTTGATTTGCCGATAAAAGTGATTTGGTATCGAATATACGAGTATATGTTTAGATTAGAATGTGTAATGAAAACTTAAAATTTATAGAATTAGTTATGGGTGAATATCGACTTAAAATGTATGCTTATAATTCTAGAACACATCGTTCGTATCATAAGACAAGTATTGCTGAAGATCTCTCGAATTTCATTACACGAAACTTGTTACAAAGTGACAGACCCACCAGTGGCATGTCTGCTAGAAACCGGGTTTTAATACCCGTGGTGGATAGAGCATAGATAGTCTTTTGTGTAGCTTTGTGCTTAATAACAACATAATGACAGAAGATGTTACATATATACTTGATCCGATTTAATAAAGTCTGATTAAAGTACTGTAGCAACGTCTTCTTTCTGGTAGCGAATATTGTCTGCGAGCACCTTGTATAACATTGTGATTAGTATAATCTCTGCAATACTAGTTCATCATACATCAAATTATTACATGACGCAAAACAGGTACTGTTCTCGAGCATTTAGGGCTTATCGAAAAGAGGAAATTCGAACTCATAAGTCATTATTAAAGGGAATTATAAGGCATAGCACACGATCGGAAACCTCCTAGGGACATCCCAAATGAACGTTGTCATGGAAACGCTTTAAGTTTCTGTGCGTAAGACTTATTTATATACATAATATGATACGTAACATATAAAGAGACTTATAACAAAATTAATTCATAATTTCTGTTCACTACTTTTTTCTTTTTTTTACAATAATCCCATCTCTCAGCAATTCTGAAATACTTGATAATATCTGCAAGCTTGTAAGAAAAAGAGAAAGCCATAAAGTTTAATTTATTTTAGCCCGTTTAAGCACATAAATAGCCAATCATACAGGTCTTAACCTTTATGGCTACGTTCAGATTTTCCACTGTCATTATGGTAGTGGAACCTTTTTAACTTGTATTGGTGCTTTAAGCTCCCACTTCCAACAGTAAGTGAATCTAACACGTTTCCCTTAACTGTAAAGGTGCAGTCTGTTTCGTCTAGTTGTAGACCTTTTATGTAATTATCTAGGGCGAGCAGCTGTTAGATATATATACGCACCACGTGTTTTTTGTTTTATTTTTTGGTAAATTTTAATAACATCAGTCATTGAGAATATGTTGGGTGAAATTAGCAGACTGTTTAGGAATGTATTACTTGATCTTCTATTCTCTTGGCCAGACCCCCCCAGTGGCACAGCGGCATGTCTGCGGACTTACACTGTTAGAAACCGGGTTTCGATACCCGTGGTGGGCAGAGCACAGATAGCCCTTTGTGCTTAATAATAAACAACAACTCTTGGCCAGGTGGTTAGGGCGCTTGACTCGCAATCTGGGGGTCGCGAGTTCGAATCTTTGTCCCACCAAACATGATTGCCCTTTCAGCCGTAAAAGCGTTATAATGAGACGGTAAATCCCACTATTCGTTGGCAAAAGAGTAGCCCAAGAGTTGGCGGTGGGTGGTGATGACTAGCTGCTTTCCCTCTAGTCTTTCACTGCTAAATTAGGAACGGCTAGCGCAGATAGTCCTCGTGTAGCTTTGCACGAAATACAAAACAAACAAACAATATTCTGTTCTCGTAACATCGGGACAAATCGCGATTTTTTTTGTAAGATTCATTTACACGATATACATTTTTATCATCACAACAGACAAACAATTATTTTAAAAACCGCGCAAGGTGTGGTTTTTCCACTCATACGATGAATTTTTTAGAAAATACGAATACAGGAACGTTTAATTTAGCGTAGATCTGCTTCACAATGGGTTACCTGCAATGAGTCAGCCGCGGAGATTGAATCCCAAATTTTAACGTTAAAAGCCTCGAAGCTTGCCGCTGAGCCCCCGTGAGAACTTGAATAAATAACTTTATTAAAAGAGTTAATTGAATTACCAGACTCTCAGGACAAAAAAATAAAAAATCTAACGTTTTCTCATAGATATGGAAATTACAACTGACGTTAACTGTTTTAGTTTTGTTTTAGCGCAAAGCTACACAAGGGGCTATCGGTGCAGTGTAAGCCGCATGGATCGAAACTCGAATTATAACGTTATACGTACTCAAGCTTATCAATGAGAAGTAACCTGAATTCGACCCTACTTATATACACTAAATAATTTCTTGAAATCAAATTTCGATTTCATTTATGTGAACACGACAGCTGCACATATTTTACTATTCGTGTGATTTAAATGTATAGCAAAAAATACTTTTGAGTGTGTGTTTATTTGTTATTAAGCACAAAACTGCACAATGTACTACCCGTGCTGTGCTCACCGCGAGGATCGAACCCCGAAACTAAGTGTTTTGTGTATTTTAAAGACGACTATTTTATAGGTTTTAAGACAAATCCGCACGCAACAAATAACCATTAGCTTCAAACCTCTTTTTTACTATTGCTGAATAGTAATTATTGCTGAAATTAGGAGCCTCAAAATTTTCCATCACATGCACTAAACCAACTTCAATTCACAAACTTTAAATTATCAATATTTACCATTCGCAACATGAATGCAGCTTGCTTTCATAAACGTCGATCCGAGCGTGACGTAGAGGTTAGAGTGTAAGACTGTGAATCAGAGGGTTCATGGTTTGCAGCCCGTTGATGCGAAAAAAAAACACGCTCGGCATTTTGGAGTCTTGGATGCAATCAAATTCCACTCTTCAATCAGACAAGTTAACGCAAGAGTTTGGATTGGGGTGGGTGTACTTTATAACTAGCTGTCCTCATATCTATTCAAAATTAGGGACAGCTATACGGCTATTTGGTCAGGCATGCGATAAAAACTGTGGAACAAACAAATGGTAAATAGCTACATAAACTTTGTGTTTACCTCTACTATATCTTATTATGTTTATGGAACGATGACGCAATCAAAACAAAACATTGTTTCTTACCATTGCCTCCAAGAATAAACACCAATAACATGGCGAGCTTCATCACACCAAGCGGAATTCGTCGTAACAAGAAATTTTACCGGTATCCTGGTTCATATGCCACTGAACATTACAACTTTGAAGCTAGTTGTCAGTGACGTATTGTAGAAGAAATACACTCTCACGATAAACAATATTTGAAACTTCCCACTGACAGCAAGCGCGAGTTGTTCTCGGCTCGAGACGTGACAAGTAAAGGTATATGTGAACGTTTTATGCCTTATTGGTTAAACCGCGTTTTGCTGAATAGTTCTACTCAAAAGCTGATTGGATGCCTAAAAAATACCTTTTTTGAATTAAGAAGACGAAAAAAAAAAGATTTATTTTATTTACGTCACCAGTCTGCTTCATTAACATATTACGACACATTATATAATATATATTATCAGGGGCGTCGAGAGCCAGCCAGGCCCCGGGATCAGTAATATCATCGCCCTCCCCCCTTTTCATTCTATTTATTACCTTTTGCTGACTTAGGTGACAAATTTCTTCATGGACCCATGAAAAAGCAGTAGCCATTTTAGCTTATTAAGTAGTATGCATTTCTAGTGAGCTTTGGAATAACTTACTGCTGGGCCCCTCAGCTGCCCCCCCCCCTCGTAAGCCCTGTATATAGTTGTATACAATCCTTCTTCATCAGTTTTACTTAGAGAAAATACTTTTACATGAATAATATTTCTAAACT